CCCTACCTTGCCCATTATATTTCGATCATAAATTTGCATGTACCAATTCCAAATTTGTTTAATACGTGTAGAAGTTTAAATTAAAATTTGAAAGGTATGTAATTCAATACAAAGTGATCGAAGAAACAGGTAATCCAGTCGTTGATCTAAATGGAGAATCGGTGGAAATAAAGGCCATGTTTAGAATTAATCTTGTTTTTGTTTTTTACGTTTTTTGAGAAAGAAAAAATGAAAATGTTTCCAAAACAACAAGATAGAAAAACGAAAATGAAAACGATTTTTTGATTTAGTGTAAAATATGAGAGAAATGAAAAATGACTTTTAGTCGTTTTTTTATTTTTTATTTTCATTTTCTTCTCTCTCAAGTAAAGAGAGAGAGACATTAATGAGTTTTTTTTATATTGAAAACAATCTCTTGATAAAACTACCAAACACATTTTCAAAAATGATTTATGTCTGAGATTGAAAACGTTTTCATTTACATTTTCATATAAAAAATAAAATTATTTTAAAACCAGTTTCAAACGCGCTTAAAGTTTTTAACAATTAAAATAAACTTTTTGTTTGATTAATATCAATTGTATCACATAACACATGTTATACAAATATATCAGTGTTACTAAAGAAAACGTGTGCTTGTGTCCCGAATTAAAAATTTAAATTAAAAAACTAAATGATACATTAATGATCAATCATTGATTAACTTAGCAATCAACCAGCAAGCGAGCCTCTCCTTAACACCAAGCGAGCAACCCCATGTCACTATGGTTGTTCCCAAGCGAGGAGCTCCACAGGGCAGAGTTGGTTGCATCAAATAATGACCTATTAATCTCGTTCGTCTTTGCTTACTAATAATCACCACTCAAGATGTATTCCCAGATTCCTCAGCACACCAAGAATAATCACCAACACAACCATGGTGGCACGAGGCTCTCAAGCACCCAAGCACAATCCTAAAATCTTAGGTGACGTTTGATAAGGGGATTCATACCCTGATTCGAATAATGATTCATAGTTCGCTACAGTGTTTTCTCTCACAAAAAATACACGTAAATTAAAAATAATTTTAATCTATGAACTAAACATCTTCTTAAAGTATCAAAAGAGTGATGAATAATGGATCATAAAAAAGAAGACGGCCATACATAGTGGTTATCAAATAGGAATAGGACATGATTGAGATACTCAAAACAATGTTTTAAAAAAATAATTAAATATAATTTAAAAAACGTTCGCAACACCATTCTCAAAAAATTAACACTTTTTTTTTAAAATAAAAACACCATTTTAAAAATGCTCTCAGGCAACCAGACGCATTATTTTTCATTCAAACTATGTAAGGAAAATAACAAGGAAATAATTTGGAAAAATTACGTAATTGGCCATTAAAATCCAACGGCTTTACGTTTATATCACATGATGACAAATTTTACACAACAAATTATAGCATTACATTAGAAAGTATTTATTATACTCAAAAAGTAAATTTACAATTAATAGATCTATTAAAATATTTATAATGTAATATTATAATTGATGTGTCAATAATAAATTTAATATATGAGTGTAAAAAATATTTTTAAGTGTAAAAAATACTCTTTAATGTAACGTTATTTATTTATTTTTAAATCTATCATGGGCTAAATTTTGTGACAAATTTGCTGCCTTGAAGCAAGAATTCCTGAAGCAGAGAGCTTTCTTTTTTCTTACGCTAATTATCGTAATAGTAATTGATGAAATGATGATTACTTTCTCTCTCCACATCCTAATCAGATTTTAAAAAATTTATTGTTAGCCGTGCTAAAAAAAGTAACTGTTATAAAAAGCAGTTGAGTATTTAATAAACTGTAATTATATAGCTATTGATTTTAGGGATATTATGGGTATTATGAAAGTTTTATTAATTTTATTTTAAGGTGATTGCCACACAATCTAAAAACTAAAGTTGCCTTTGAGTTGTTTTTTATTTGACTATAAATTCTTATTGAGTATTTAATAAACTGTAATTATATAGCTATTGATTCTAGGGATATTATGGGTATTATGAAAGTTTTATTAATTTTATTTTAAGGTGATTGCCACACAATTTAAAAACTAAAGTTGCCTTTGAGTTGTTTTTTATTTGACTATAAATTCTTTAAAAATTATTTAAGAATCACTTTTTATATTTTTACTAAACATAAATTTTAACTGTTGATGACTAAAGAATTAATTTTAAGATCTAAGAATTACTATCAAACATACCCATAATCCAACCAAGAAAAAAATAATAAAAAAATAAAAGCTAGAAAAAAAAAGCATCCGGTAGGAAGGTGTAGTAAAGAGGAACAAAAGAAAGCAGCTTGTCAAGAGTATGGTTATTATTATTATTATTTTTTAGAAAATTTTATTTTAGTATTCTATGTTATATTGAAGTATTAATTTAGTACTCTCTGTTTTTAATAATTTTATGCTAGTACTTTGATCTTGTAACAAGACAGTTTTTTGAGACATAAAAAGATTAAATTACCTCTTTTTAAAAAATCTTAAACATGAAACAAAGATTTTTGCTTTATGTTTGGGACAAAATGAATTTTAGGTGTTTGGTTGCAAGTCTAAGGATTTGTTCTTTCGTATGACTTGAGTTATGATTTGAACTGTGTTTATGAGAGAAAAATTCTGTAGCAAAAAAGCTTAATTTGAATTTTTAGAAAATAAAATATTATAATAATATGACTTGAGTCATGAAATAAACATATCATAAGATTTTTTAAAAAGCTTTCTTATATTTAATAATAAGAGTAATTTTATCTTTTTGTATCTTAAAAAATACACTAAAATACTAAAAGAAGATTATTTAAAAGGTCAAGATATCGATATGAAATTATTAAAAACATAGAGTACTCAACTCATATTTTAATATACAATTTAATTCTTTCCGGATAAGGTGAAACCATTCTGGTATAGAAGCTTCAGTTCTTTCCTTGCCGTTTCTATTTTCAACTTTTTTAATTAATTTTTTTTTTTAATTTCTTACTTTCAGAAAGATCTTTCAATTTTGTGCAATATATTGGGAGGGAACCAAAGATCTGCCCTTTATATATTTACCCGAGCATGTTACCCCAACTTTGTTTGGGCTATTTTTTCTGCTCATCTTTTGGTCGGTGTTTCTACTCATTCGGTCAGTGGTGGCTGGTGAGCGCACAAGGCAGTCACGTGAGTGAGAATTCCGTCTTGAGTTTTAACGGACGTTACTGAGTAGAGTATATACCGTTTATTTTACTTATATTTTATTTTATTTTTATTATTATTCGCTTAAAACCGAAACTTCCAGCAGATTCTGCTCAAACCTAAGAGGTTGTAGAACTTTGAAGAAGAAACTGAACCCTCTTTGTTGCCGCCAATAAAATAAAATACGCCAACCCCATAATTTTGCTGCTGTTGTTCGATTCGATTCGTTCAGAAGTGAAGAAATGGACAATAATAATAATAATAATAATAATAATAATGATGAAGAGCAGATTGTAGACGTGAGGTCTGTGGTGGAAGCCGTCTCCGCCGCCGACTCCTCCGACGCCCCTCTTTACCAACTTGAGAGCCTCTGCATGCGCTGCGGTGAAAATGTAACCTCTCTCTCTCTCTCTATTGCTTTGGCAAATTTAATGTTAATGTTTATTTTTTGTTTGTTTGTTACTGTTTGAGTTTTGGGTTTTGTTGGGCAGGGCATAACCAGGTTTTTGTTGACTCTGATTCCTCACTTCAGGAAGGTATGTATGTTTCATGCTCGTTTCCTCGGGAGAGATACTAGCATTATTTCGGCCCGTTTAGTTCGTTGATTCGAGTTTTTAATTTAAATTGATATGTAATTTATACGAGAGCTTTTCATTTTAATAAAAATAGTAAATGTGACTGTTTTTGAGAGATTTTTACTTTAGAAAAACTCGAATTCTAAACTCGAATCAGTGAAATGAACGAGGCCTTTTTTGTCACCTCTTCGCTTCTCCGATCACTCTTGTCACTTTTTTGCTTTCACTGTACTCCATTATCTCATTTTTTATTTAAATAATATATTATCCTAATAGAGTCCAAAGACGAAAAAATGAAAAAATGACGCTAGCAAATTAATCAATTATTCGGGAAATGTCATGATTGTACTAATGCAAACCAGCCCCCCCAATGCTCACACAGTATTACTTTTAATTATATCCACTAACCACACAAGAAAATATTTGGGTGTAAAAGTAGTGTATCATTCTAAACCGTTAGTTTCAATTAATGTGATGATTTTTAGCAGTTTTGCATATGAAAAAAATGATATTCAAATCTTCATAGAAGTAATAAACATGTTATAGTGAGATTTATGAAATCTTATTGAAACTTTGGTACAAGCTTCAAACTCTTATTAAAAGAGCTTTTGAGAAGCCACATACTATGACTTTGACTGAAAAGTTTTTTGGAAAAGTTATCCAAGCATCCACAAAAGCAACTTTTTAATCGAGGATGCCAAAGGCAGCTTTTAGGAAGCAATGCCAAATGCATCCTAATACCTCATATATTTAATATGGCATCCTATAATTACCTCAACTAAATACTAGGAAGGTGCCCTTATCGACAAAATCGTTGAAACTATTTGTTTTGTTATTGAATGTGCTTTGGATGCGCTTGCAGATCCTGTTGTCGGCCTTTGAGTGTCCACATTGTGGGGAGAGGTAAATTGACAATTTGTTTTTTGTTTGGTTAAAGCAAAATGAGGTAACTTTAGAATTTCTTTACAAGGCCTCACTTGTGTGGCAGGAACAATGAAGTTCAGTTTGCTGGTGAGATCCAACCCAAGGGATGTTGCTACAGATTGGAGGTTCCATCAGGCGATCTGAAGGTTGCATCAGTTCAATAAAGCGCCTTATAAACTCATAATAGAACCGTTTTCTTAGCGAATCAATTTTGCTTGCGATATAAACTCATAAACTCATAAGATTCTGTCTCTTGTTTATTAAAGATTTAAGTTCTGGTGTTGGGATACTATTAGTTGCTTCCCCTAAGTTCAATGACTTACCATAGTGCTAACAAGTAACAATGTCGAGTTTTTTCCCAACAGATGCTTGACCGGCAAGTGGTGAAATCAGAATCTGCGACTATCAAGGTACAAACAAATAGCATGTTGTTCAAATGTGTAGCTTAATAAACAAATTTTAATCTGCACTTCTTTTTGCATGCAATTGCTAACTTCCTTTATTATTTTTGTATTTTTCGAACTTTTAAGATGTTTATGTTATGTTGAGAACAATAACACTTTCTTTTTACAATAGCTATTGGCCATGTATTAGAATGTAGGTATTGAGAACATGTGTTAAAAGTGATCCAGGTAGTTCTTAAAGAAGCCATGCGAGATTTTTTTTGTTCATTCCCCCATTATTGTATTTTTATTATTATTACTCTAACAGTGAGGAAGTATTCGAGTTATTTCATATGAACTACTGGAATTACATATGCCAATTGACATAATAAATAGAAAATACTACAGCGTGTTGCTTGCTATGTTTTGGACTTAGATTAGCAAGTGAAATGGTTGTACATAAGTCATAAGCTAGTCCAAGTTGTCCAACGACAATTTTTACTTGTTCTTTGTTGTTTTTTTTTTCTGCGATGGGGAGTTTAAGAGTTTGATATGGCAATTTGTCTTCTTTATTACACCATATAGAAAGTTAAGGTGTTTCTTTGGTGATTAGTAGTTTTTGCTTTATTGGACGCAGACCTTGTGCTTTTCCTATACCTTGCTGTTGTATGCATTTATGATGCTATTTTTTTTATAATGATTGTTTATCCCTTGCCTTAGGTATTTTGGTAGAACGGAAATATATTGCATTGATTTTTCAAATTTGAGCATTTGTTTTTATTCTTAGTTCTTATTATCAGTTTCGGAATTATGTTGCATTGATTTTTCAAATTTGAACATTTGTTTTTATTCTTAGTTCTTGTTTTCAGTTTTTAACAAAATCCTTAATTCCCACGCCACAAGTATAATATTATGTATTATCCTTATCTTTATTTATTGAAATGAATGCAGATTCCTGAATTAGATTTTGAGATTCCTCCAGAGGCTCAAAGAGGAAGTTTGTCTACGGTATCTTATTTGAAACCATAATCTTTGTTTATTTACAGTCTTTCTAATTGGTTATCCAAATAGCTACTTTTTCTTGATAAATACTATTCTCTAATCTCTACTATTTTCTTTCCTTTTCTGTTCTGTTTTCTTGATAAATACTATTCTCTAATCCCTACTATTTTCTTTCCTTTTTTGTTCTGTTCTGTTCTGTTATGTGGCCCCCCACCGCCCCCCCTCTTAGGCTGTTTACTCTTTAACTATAGTCTTTTGTTATATTCTATTATTTTCAATATTAGAACACCTGTTGTGAAGTTATGAGAGGATTAGGGCCTGGATTATTACATGTATCATGCAGTGACAAAATTACTTTTCATTATTGCAATCCTGCAGAGACAAAATTTTTTATTTGATTTAAATATAAGAGAAGGATATGTGGGAAGACATATCTTGATTGTTGAGGTTCTCCGTATCTGTAAGATTAATCATTTATTGAAAAATGTAGAATTTTTCCTATCCAAGTTCTGTTCTCTCTCTCTCTCTCTCTCTCTCTCTCTCTCTCTCTCTCTCTCCTTCTCTCTTTCCGTGTGTGCGTCTATGAACATGAAATCTGTTTGATGTAATTAAAAGTGCATGATAAAGTTGTTGTTTGGTTCTTGGCAAATGAGGTGATTGAACACTTTTCTTTTCTTTTCATTTTTTTTTTTGGCTAGAAAGGTGGTTGAACACTTGCTTTCCACTCTTTTTACTCTGTCATCTTTATTTAGTGTATCTCAGTTGGGTTTATTTAACAAATTGCATTTTTATATGTATATATGTTCCAGGTGGAAGGGATATTGGTACGAGCAGCAGATGAACTAGAGGCACTTCAAGAAGAACGCAAGGTTTTTTTTTTTTTTTCTTCTGGGAATATCTGCCTCCCGCCCTACACACACACACACACACATTGTGATGTGATCGTATTTGTTCTTGTATATGGGCTGTGCAGAAGGTAGATCCTCAAACTGCGGAAGCAATTGACCAGTTTTTGGTGAAATTAAGAGCCTGTGCAACGGGAGTTTCGCCATTCGCTTTCATTCTAGATGATCCTGCTGGCAACAGTTTCATTGAGAACCTGTAAGTATGTTAACAAAGCTTCTGATAGAACTTATTCATTTTGCTTTTGTATCGTTGAGAAAAAATTAAGTTAATAGGGAATCCGTAGGTCATACTGTCAGTTTAGTTGAACGGTTGACTCAATGTTCTTAGTCTTGTATAAGTAATCTCTATTGGTGATACTAGTCTCCAAAACTCTTTTCTTTTCCATTTTCAATTAACTTTGCCCTGGTGTTGCTTGTTGACTTCTTATGATTTGTTCTGAACTTGGTGCGTCGACATTATAATATTACGAGAGCAGGCATGCTCCATCACATGACCCATCATTGAGTATCAAGTTTTATGAACGTACCCCAGAGCAGCAAGCATCATTGGGATATCTTGTTGACTCGTCGCAATCAGCAGATCATCGTGATGGAACATCAGAACCAAATAGTTCTTCTGATCAAATAAGAAGAGAACCACATGGATCAGTTGGAGCAGCAGCTGGTCATCGAGCCATTGCTCAAAGTAACAGTGCAGAAATTGCTGAAGCTTTGTTTCGGTACACAGCACCAGAAGAGGTGGAATTGTTAAATATTTAAATAAATAAGTAGCATATAAGCATTATTCCATAAAAGTATTGCAAACTTATTACCCGACTTTGATTTGACAGGTAATGACTTTCCCATCAACATGTGGAGTTTGTGCATCAAGGTGTGAGACTCGGATGTTTGTTACCAGTATCCTTTTCATCTTTTATGGTTGTATTTTTCCTAGAGCTATGAACTTGCAAGCGTTGCCTTTGATAATTTATCATTTTGTTGAAGGTACTTTCTCATGTTACTAGCCTATTTAATTGATGTCTCTAATAGACCATGATACTTAAAACGTCGTATTGGATGCTTTGAAAATAGTTTCACTCTCTTCTACTGGGTTGAAATTGTGGTTGAACCATTGTTTTAAGTTTTGTGCCGCACCTACTCTGTTTTTTTATTTTTTATGGTTTATTTTATTTTTGTTGAGTATGAGCTTAATTGTATATGTTTGACGTCTATGAGTTTAAAATGAAATGGTTATCCAATCACACAGTTACTCATGCAGGAAGCATATATTTTGTCCTTACTCTAAAAGTTTCTTCAAAGTATGGTCATGTTCACTATACATCTCTTATCATTTGGTGGTGGATGTTTAATATTAGAAAGTTTGCCAGACGGCAAGACTTGTATCTGTGTTTTATTATTATTATTATTACGATTTTTTTCACCAAACAAACAGAGCTTCCTCTCTATTGCTTTCCTTTTTTTTTTTTTGAAAATTTTTATTGCTTTCCAAGGAGAGAATGTCATCTCATTTGGGTAGTGGGACTGTGCTAAGATGTTTAGCTTAACAATATATAGATATTCCTTACTTTCAAGAAGTAATCGTCATGGCTTCCACCTGTGATGCGTGTGGTTACCGCAATTCTGAGGTTTGTAATTATATGATTCTGTTTTATTTTTGTTGCCATTTCCTATAGCAATCGTCTGATTTATTTCAGCTGATGATTCTGGATCTTAGTATACTTCATGTTTTCTTACTTTTCTTTTCCATTCGTTAGATTATTTTTTATTTTTATGTTTAATCTTGACTTCTTTCTCGAGCAGCTCAAACCAGGTGGAAGAATTCCTGAAAAGGGGAAAAGAATAACTCTTACAGTAAAGAAAACTGATGATCTAAGCCGTGATGTAATAAAGGTCTGTTGCCTTGTTAGAAATGTAGTCTGGATATCACTACTTTGCATGTTTGTATACAACTATAACTCTCTTGGATTGGGAAGACAATTTTGGCAATGTTTTCCGTCAGCTCGTTCCTTCAAATGGATTCAATTCGATCTTTATTCTCATTTACTTTTAGTTTGTATTAGTTAAACAATCTGATTAGAGTATTTCTTTTGGACTCCAAATTTGGAGGTATTCTAGAATCTAGATTACCTCCAGGTTTTTTGTTGCATTATTCCTATCAGGTCTAGTTAGACTGGAATCTGGTCCCTCACTTGGTTGGTAGGGGCTGTTAGTAGTAATTCAGTTACTCTTATCATTCTTGCATAGATTGTTCAATGCAAGGTGCACGAAAGTATTGGGTATTTCTTGAATGCAGACATGAACAATTTTGATATTCAGAGCATAACGAATCATGTATTTTCATTTGATCTTATAAAGTATTCACTTGAATTGAAAAAAAAGGGAGAGAAAAGTAGTAATACCACATGATTGGGCCAGTAACTGGGATTTACCTTATTGCACTTTCGACTCTCGTGTCAGTGATGTCACTGTCACAATTGATGCATTATCGTTGATAGAGCAATAATGTAGGAATTCTATGTCATTTATTTATCATATAAAAGCTTGGAAAGCAAGTTGGCGGCTGTAGAACTACAATTGTTGGCTGCTTTCTATATAGAGCTGGTTAACATTCCCATTATGTCAAGCTACAAAATTCATTGTCTGACATTCTTTGTGTGGCCTAATCAGTCAGATACTGCTGGTGTGAAAATTCCAGAGCTGGACTTGGAGCTTGCTAGTGGCACTTTGGGCGGCATTGTTACCACTGTTGAAGGCTTGATAACTAAAATCAGTGAAAGTAAGTGCGACTTCTGAACTTTGTATCAGTGCTTGTGCTTATGTGATCATTAAATTAGTCGTGCCAGCTACCTAGGAGTTGATTAAGACCTGATTACTGATTATTTATTTATGTGTTACAAAGTGGCCTCTAGTTTGCTTCCGAAAAGCAACATAGGATTTCTAGAAGGAATGAGTGGATTAGTTGCCAGTTCTCTTTTCAAATAATGAGAAACGCTTGCTGATGTTTTCTTTTCAGAATGTACCAGTATATTTTTGGGCATAGTTCTGATATATCTTTTCAATTTACTAACGATTATGACAGTGATCAGTCTCTATGTTAAGGTTTTGAGATAGTATTTAGCTGCTTGTACAAGTCTGTTTGCCATTTGATCTTTTTTATTTTTCTCTTTCTGAACTCGTATGCCTAGCTGCTCCGAGTCTGCATCGTCTGATCGATTACATGGTTTGGTATGTCTAGTTGACTTCATGTACATCTATTTTTAACATCTATGAAATTATTTGCAGGCCTTGAGAGAGTGCACGGCTTTACCTTTGGAGATAGTCTTGATGAAAATAAAAGAATCAAGTGGATAGACTTCAAAACAAGGTTAAGCAAGGTAAAGCACAGCCCATTCTTCTATAATTTACAACTTTGGGCAATCATTTGAAGTCGACATGAAATTTACTAGACTTGGTACAATTGTATGGCAATGACATGGTCAGACGACTTCTTGTCCTCTTTATTTTTTTGATACCAATGGTGATATACTTGGTCTTTAGGCAAGACTTATGCTTCAAGGAAGGATTCATGAAAACTGTTGAAGTTGTTTTTAAGTCTATGCAAGGCTAATATTTTCCAGCAGGAGACATGAATATCGTTTTCTAACGTTTTGATCATCAAGCGTAAAATATATTTGCAAGATAAAAAAGATTGATAAAAACTTGCGTTCTAACTGACTGCTGGAGGGTCATATATAACTTTGACTGTTGGTCTCTCCTTTGATGTATATGATTTTCCATAATTTATTGCGTTGTTAAAGAAGACATTTACTCAGCTGTTTGCAAGTTACTTCCTTGAAAAAAAAAAAAACTGATTAGTGGGGGGAAAAGGTATTGTCCAAATTCAGTACAATTATGTATTTGTGATTGTTCTATGTAATTTCTAATGGGTTTTAACATTGTGCTGAGACACGCTTTGTCTCTACAATCTATGGTACCTGTTTTCTCTCTCTCATCTTCTCTTTTTCCCCTTCTTTGGAGATTCCACTTCATTGTGAATTAGATATTTGTATAGACAAATGGTGGCACCCTTTTCCTTGGTTGTTCTTTCCTAATGATGCTTCCCTCCAACATTTGCAGCTTCTAAGTTTGGAAGAGCCTTGGACTCTAATTCTTGACGATGCTTTAGCTAATTCTTTTGTTGCACCTGTGACCGATGATATCAAAGATGACCATCAGTTAATGTGTAAGTTTTCTCTTCCTAACATTGTGGCTGTTTTTCTAATAAAAGTATGATGTATTTGGTGATCCTTTCTCTTTTTTTTTTCTTTTTTTTTTTTTAAAGAAAACCCGGGTTTGTGGGATTTGTTTGCTCTGGCCAGTTCATGACGATATTATTTATTATTACTTTTTTGAACTTGGGGGTGGGGAGGATTTGAAATCTACACTCAAGGGGGAGTCGGGTGTTAATTTACCATTAGATTATGTTTGCAACCTGGTTTATGGCCATTTTGATACTGTTGGAACTTTTATGTCATAAGGATAGAATGTTATGATGGTTATTTCATGTTTTGTACCAAGCGAGTTTGGTTCTTTCGTCTTTGTGCTCGACTCAAAGCAGTTTCTCCAGTAAAAATGAAGAAAAACTTTGTTGTTTTCCAACTATAAAAGAATCTTTATTTGAAGAAAATTCCATCTTACTACACGTTATCTTAACAAGGAACATGTTACAGTAAAGTCTGTTCCCATTATTAGGAAGCAAACAGAAAGCTTGTTTCCTTGCACTTTTTATTTACTGCTTTAGGTTTTAATTTTTTTTCCTGCTAATTTATAAGTAACATTATTTCCGTTTTTGTTAATCTCGTTTTCTGGTACTTTCTATGTCTAGTTGAGGAGTATGAGAGATCGTGGGAGCAAAACGAAGAACTGGGTTTAAATGACATAGACACCTCCTCAGCTGATGCTGCATATGGCTCCACAGATACAACAGCAAAGGACAAGTTAGAAGCATAGATTTTCTTTCTTTTTATTTATTTATTTTTTGTTACCGCTTTTTGGGAAAGAACTGATCAAAATTGTTGTTTGATTATAATTATGAGTTCACAACGCCTCTAGTAAGTTATTTCCTGCAATTTGTGACATTTATATTTGTCATCTCAAGTTGAAATCGGATTGCAATTCTACAAGAAAGTAGATGCTTTCAGGATGTCTGCATAGATTGGAAAAATTTTGGATCTCTCTTCGATAAATCATAATTTTTTTTAATTAAATTATTATTTATTGAGGTAAAGCATTGATTTACTTGACCCTCTACAAATAAATAAATAAATAAATAAATAAAATAAATAAATAAAAAGATATAGTTTATCATTAATATATATATATTTATATATTTAAATTTTGCTATATGTTTTTGAAGCCAACCATTGATTGAAGAAGATTAATGATTTTGCTCGTTGTAGGATTCTTACAGCATAAATTTGAGGATTAGGGAAATATCATGATCAATGTAAAAAAACAATTCATTACAATAAACAAAATAAGCAAACATTGATTCGAAAGAAAAACAAAGGTATGGATGGTTTTTCAATGTGCACTCATTTTAATTTATGTTGCATAACTCCACAAACGAGAAAAACTCCAGCGCTATAAGATGATTCTCAGCTTTACAAAATGCCATTTGTCTTCTGATTGATGCGGTGATGAATTTATTGTGAATGTCGTTCTTCACTCATTTAAAATCTGACAATTATAAGCTACATGCCTGACAAGAAAATCTTCACGTGTCAAACGGTAAAAAATAACAGAAAAAATAACGCTAATATTTCTTTTTTTTAGGTCTCGTTTATTTCACTGATTTAAATTTAGAATTTGAGTTTTATTACGGTAAAAAGTTATCAGAAACAGTCACATTTAACTTTTTTATTACAATAAAAAATTTTCACATAAAATTACATCTCAATTTAAATTAAAAATTCAAATCAGAGAATTTTGTGTTCGGATTTGAAATGATATAAATACCACAAAAAGATGTGACTTCCAGGGCACTGCGGTGAAGGAAAAGAAGTTACTAACGGACGTATCGTCAGTGCGAGCACCTAAATTATGCGGCAATCAAAGAAGAGGTCCGCCCAAAAAGAGGTCACCCTAACCCCCACCTCAATTTTGCCGTCTACCAACACCCACCGTTTGAGATTTGTATACCTTGTGGGCCCGACTAACCAAAGTCGAAGGTCTGGTAGCCTGCTCGAAGACAAAGGCTGGACTCCAACCCTCCCACAAAGCTTGAGCGGCGGAAAAAAGAAGAAGAAGAAAACCTTAGACGATGGAAGGAGAGTGGTGCGAATATATATATATATATTTTGTTTTGAAAAGAAAAGAAAGAGAGGGATTTATTTATTTTTTAATTTTAATTTAAAGTTCAATTAGAAGTGGAAGCCAAAATGAGGAGAATTAATGGGAAATGGACTCGTTTGTTTCGTGAATTTGAGTTTTCAATTCGAATTGAGATGTGATATTTTTAAAAATTTTTAACACGTGATATTTTTTGAGAGTTTTTAACCGTGAAAATTTAAAATTAAAAACTTGAATTGGTGAAATGAATTTAAAATTGAAAACTCAAATCGGTAAAATAAATTAATTTAAACTATATTTGGTAGGATGGATAGAAAAGAAGAGGAAAAGATGAGTATCTCAATATAAATAAAAATATAATGAATAGTAAATATTAAAAATATTATTTTACATATTATTTTTTTATCAAATTTTTTCTCTTTTTTTCTTTTTAAAATTAAAAAGATTAAAAATTAATGGACTCCATAAATTTTTATTTTTCTTCGTTCCTCATTTCTTTTTTATTAAACAACTTAAAATTTTATTTTTCTCTATAAAATTCTTTCTCTATTTTTTTTTCTCTCTTTTCTGGCGTACTAAACACATTGTAAAATTAAAATTTTAAATACGTGAAACGAACGATGTCATTGTTTGTCACCCTACCAAATCTAATGCGTCGTAGACTCCAGTTCCCTTCACTCTCGAGTCTCGTCTCAAGTTCAACAACTCACACAACCCACTTACAAAACGCAAAAGGGCAGTTGTCCTTTTGCTGTTTCTCTCTCATTTTTATTATTAATTATTATATTCATGATCTCTATAAATATATATATATATTTTTTTTTTCTTTTTATGTTTTAGTGTCTGAATCTTGAAGAAAGCGAAGGCGAAACAGAGAGGAAAGAAGTCGAAAATGGAGAGCTCTGAAGAAGAGGACGACTTTCCCTCCATTGAGAGCATCATTCCACAGTCCAAGGTCGACTCTCTCTACCAATCTCACACTGAAAAGGTAGAGCTTTCTTCTTCTTCTTCTTCTTCTTTCATTTCAACTTTCTTTTTACCCTCGAAAGAGTCGCTCAATTCAACTGTGTTTCTTTTTAATGTTTGTTTCACTATTTCTAGTGAATTTTATAGCAGCTGTTGTTTCTTCCATTTGGGATTTTGTCTAAATTGGCATTCGACTAGTTGTTAGATGGATTAAATTCAATCTGTAATTGTTAAGTTCGGGTTTAGTGTTTTAGTGGATTCTGTATATACGTCTAATTGATGGAATAGTGTATTTGGATCTTGTATATCCATGAAAATGTTGATGGGTATATCTGGGTTCGCTTTGGTTCTCCTCATAAGTATTTTAAACTTTAAAGAGCGCCCACTGATCATTTTGTTTTATTTATCCAAAGATGAGAGATGTATCATACTTCCAGTTATTTGAGAGCCTGATTATATTAGTCATATTTGAATTCATGCCCGTATTCCTTTCATTGTATGGAAAAATTACTTTGTTAGACTGCAACTAATCAGCATTAATATCTTGTTGTCATTGTGTGTATTTTTTTTTTACCCATGAGAATCAAACCCACTTTCACTATTCGCCCATACTTATGCTGAGAAGAGTTATAATTTATGGCCCTTTTTTTTTTCCCTGACACAGCAACTATTGTGCAGGGAATTAGAAAGCTTTGCTGTGAACTTCTGGATTTAAAGGATGCAGTGGAAAACTTACGTGGGAATATGCAAACAAAGTACTTGGCTTTCTTGAGGTATATATATGTAAATCATTAAGGAAATATATTTCTCTTCTCTCTCATCCGTGATGTGCATATTTATTACCTTTATACACGAATAGAACAGTACTTTGGATGTTTTGAAAAAACACCAAAAAAGAAAGAGAAAATGGAAAGAACATAGTACTTAGTAGTCTTACGTGCGCAGAAGGTTTCTTGCATATTAAGCTAATATTATCCAACTTAAAAACGTGGTGTTTTCGAACTCTTCTCTGTGACCCCATTGGCCATTCTGAACAAAGTAAAAACAAAGAAAAAATTATAACACTATTTTAATTGTGGCTCTTTTCTTCTTCTTCAGCAACGGCTGAAATGCGTATTGGTTTGATCTTACTGATAACTGCAGGATATCTGAGGAGGCTAAAGAAATGCAATATGAGTTGATTGAGCTGCGGAAACATATTTCAGCCCAAGGGATTCTTGTCCAAGATCTGATGACTGGAGTCTCCCGTGAATTAGAAGAGTGGAACCAAAGTGGTGGTAACTTAAACACCCAAGAACCTACGCAAGACCCTGAGAGTGTTGAGCTTGAAGATCCCACACCTATTGAAGTAGATGATCACAAGATATTTTTGGAAAATATTGATGTTCTCTTGGCTGAACATAAAGTAGAAGAAGCATTGGAGGCTTTAGATGCTGAAGAGAAAAACTCTGCTGAGCTGAAAACCTCAGGAGATGCTTTCCCAACTGAAGGATCCACATACAAATCTGAGTTCTTGAGAAGAAAGGTAATGCTTGAGGATCAGCTAGTTGAGATTGCTGAACAACCTTCTATTAGTGTCCTTGAGCTGAAGGAGGCTTTATCTGGTTTAATTAAACTTGGGAAAGGTCCTTTAGCTCATCAGTTACTGCTGAAGTTTTATGGTTCCCGCATTCGGAAGAGCATCGAGGTTTTTCGTCCTTCTTGTTCTGTCTGCCCAAGGACATATCCAGCAACATTATCTAAGCTTGTATTCTCTATAATCTCACTGACAATAAAGGAATCGGGTTTGATGTTTGGTGACGATCCTGTTTATAGAAATAGGATTGTTCAGTGGGCAGAATGGGAAATCGAGTTCTTTGCTCGGCTGATCAAAGAGAACGCACCCTCTTCTGAGACAGCTTCTGCTTTACGAGCTGCCAGCGTATGTGTTCAGGCTAGTCTCAACTACTGTTTGGCACTGGAATCACAAGGCCTGAAACTGTCCAAATTAATTCTGGTCCTTTTGCGCCCCTTCATTGAAGAAGTTTTAGAATTGAACTTTAGACGGGCTAGGAAATTTGTGCTTGGCTTGATGGAACCTGATGAAAGCACGCCCTTTTCACCTCGCTTTGCATCTCCATTGTCCACGTTTGCACCATCATCGGATAGTGTGCTTGTTGATAGTGGAATAAGATTTATGTTTGTTGTTGAAGTAAGTTGATATTCACCTTTTTTTTTTTATATAATTATTTTCATAGATGGATTTAGCTACATTATTGCTAGGACCATTCGATCTTATATACACTTGATCTTATAGCACTACGAGCATTATGTTCATGCACTTTTGAATTAGTATGTTAATTCTTTGGAGTCAATATTTTTTATTTTATTTTTATCATCATTATTATCAAATTTTTTTTTTTCCTTTGGTATTTAAAAATGATGACAAAATGGTTTTGATAGTTGAGAAAAAATGTTATCGTCAGAATCATTTTGGTTTGGTGTTGTCTATTGCTAGGTGGCTTCTTGTGGATTTCAAGTTATGATGAAGTGTATGCATTTCTCGTCTACGCTTTAACTTGTGTGAATGCAGGCATGTTCTTTTTGCTGTTTGAGTTACGAGATATGTTGCCTGTCAGCACTTATCAATTTGACTAGAACGTAGTCATGTTGCGGTCTCAAATAAAATTACCCTCAAACGTCTTGGTCGGCCGCTTTTTGCTTCCTTCCATCTTGTTTGTTAATGTTGGCTATTTGAGAATGCATTGCATGCATACACTGCTGAAGCTTACGTTTGCAAGAGCTCTTTTTTTGGCTCAGCATCAACTTTAATTTAACTGATGAACTATACATGGTCTGTAATGATGTGTTAACCTGTCTATCTTCAATTTTAACTTTTGAACTCAAAATCTTTATGCAGGATTTATTGGAACAGCTTACCCCATTGACCGTTTTGCATTTTGGAGGCAACATTTTGAGTAGAATTGGACAACTATTTGATAAGTACATGGATTCGCTAATCAAAGCCCTACCCAGCCCCTCAGATGATGACCATATTACTGAGCTGAAAGAGGTCGTGCCCTTTAGAGTCGATACAGATTCCGAACAGCTTTCAATTTTAGGAATAGCGTTTACCATTATGGATGAACTACTTCCAAATGCCGTGATAACTCTTTGGGCACAGCAGAATGTCATTCAGGAATTAAAAGATGGATCTGCTGAAAATGCCAAGTCTAATCCGAACACGGCAGCAGAACTAAAAGAGTGGAAGCGCCATCTTCAACATTCATTTGACAAGCTTAGAGATCATTTTTGCCGGCAATACGTTTTGAGTTTCATTTATTCACGAGAAGGCAAAACACGATTAAATGCACAAATATATTTGGATGGAAATGGGGAGGATTTACATTGGGACTCTGATCCCCTACCTTCGCTTCCATTCCAGGTCTCACTTCTTGCTTTACTGCTGCAGTATTCTTTGATGGTACTGCATTGTACCTAATGTGGAGTATGTCTGTCTGTTGTTTAATTTAAGCATTGGTAATTAGACTTCTCCACTATTTTGTTTGACGAATTTGGTTCTGCATTTGGACATTTTAGAATGTTTTTCAACATGTTTTTTGTTGTATTGTAATGTAAACCATACTGACTTCTACTTATATCATGATAAGTCTTTTCAGCACATTTGGCCATGTCAAAATGTCCTTTTAGTGTATTCTCTGGATTTGAGTACAAGATCAACTCTTGCAAATTGTTAAATCTTTCTTCCTCTTCTTCTCCTTTTATATTTATTTTATGAAATATATCTTCTTGGGTAATAGTTTTGAGAAATCTCTTAATATCTTATTGTGATGCATGTTTCCTTTGTCCGTGGCAATATTCAGTGGCGGTTTCTCCGTTTTCATAAAGCTTCGAACACTCTTAGCTGACCATTATTTTGCGTTTATCCATATAACTCGCTTAAGTTATGTTCATTAATTACTGTCTTCTGTATTAGTTTTTTACCAGTAATCTGATCGAGTGCTTTTTTGTGCAGGCATTATTTGCAAAGTTGCAGCAGTTGGCAACTGTGGCTGGAGATGTATTACTTGGAAAAGAAAAGATACAGAAAATCTTGCTTGCTAGACTAACTGAGACAGTTGTAATGTGGTTATCTGATGAGCAAGAGTTTTGGGTCGTCTTTGAGGATGATTCAGGTTCTCTTCAGCCACTTGGGTTGCAACAGGTATATTTTTTCAACTGTACCTTTATTTTCTTAATAGCTAGAACTATAAAAGTGTCTTTTCTAGAAAGGCTTCAATTTTATAGTCGTTTCAGGGTTAAAAAAAAAAAAAAGGGGGATGGAACAAGGGTCTTGGTTTTGGAGAAGCCTAACAATGAGCTTAAGCGGTATAGGCCTGCATGACGCAAACATTGATATTGACATATTTAACAAATTGGATCACTGGTTTTGGTTTTCTGCTTGGCAATTTTTTCTTTCGTAAGAAAAAAACTTTTATATAAAGTAAAAGAAAATGTAACAGTGAAAGAGGACGAAGAATCCTCCAAAGAAACAACAAATGGCTTATTTTCTTTTTATAACCCATTATTTTTTACATAACTTTTCATGGAACGGAATTTCTAAAATGTCTGTCATTTGGATTTGTCAAGTAAGCTTTAGATGTGGTTGTGCAATTGGGTATGCGTCGGTACAATGAAAGAGTGTTGATATATGTTAATCCATGTATTCCTGGAATTGTCGATTCCATTAGATAATGAGAATAAGACACTGGTGGAAATTTTTATTTTCACAAAACCATGATTCTTGTGTGATTCTGTTCATAAATTCTAAGCTTAGGGTTCTCTGAAAATTGAGAAGCCCTCTATGTGCTTTCACAAAAAGCCTCTCAGATGTTTCCTGCCTTGCATTGGAAAAAGCCTTAAGCTCCTATTAAATCAGGCCATGGTTGAATTAAGCTCCTGTAACACAAGTGCTTCTGAGAACTTAATGATTTGTGATTGTAACCCTAAAAGATTGAGAAGGAGCTTATCTCATGACTTATGAGTTTGGTTACTAATATATGTATTTTTTTTAATTTAATAAAATTTATACCCATTTACTTACATTTTCGTATATTTTTTCTAGAACGTCAAAGTAACTTGATGTCTTGTCACCTGGGACCTGGGGTTACTCAAATTCTCATCTTAGAACTGTGCTTAGTCTGGTAGGTCACTCTTATATTCCATCTGATTAAGCTCATTATTGATCTTATTCTGTTGCAGTTAATTCTTGATATGCACTTCACTGTGGAAATTGCACGTTTTGCGGGTTACCCATCAAGACATGTGCACCAGATTGCATCGGCCATAACTGCTCGTGCCATCAGGGCCTTCTCGTCTAAAGGCATAGATCCAAATAGGTAGGTTCTGTATATGCGCCGGGGAGCTAGTTTACCGAGTTACTGTTTTTGTTTCTTTTTCTTGCTGATCTCTGTTTCTCATCCTAAAACTGAATTTCCTTTATGCCATATCAGTGCACTTCCTGAGGATGAATGGTTTGTGGAAACTGCAAAATCAGCAATCAACAAGCTACTTTCAGGAGCAGAAGGGTCAGAGATGTCTGAAATTGATGAAGATGACATGATTCTGCACGATGAAATTGTTTCCGAGTCGGATGAGACCGTTTCATCCCTCTCAACAGAAGAGTCCTTCCAGTCCTTTGTTTCTGCAAGTATGGGTGAACTTGATAGCCCCGCGGACTTGACGGATCCTGAAAGTTAGTAAGGCATTGCAGGCCACAAAAGGTAGAAAATAGAGTACTCACATTCTTTCATTTTAAGAGGGAGTGAAATCACATTGGATTCATATTAGATTCGTAAAGGATCTGCCAAATGCTCTGTTACTGAAGTGGTCCTAGTAGGAAAAAATATATCCATGGTGTATTTATTATTATTATTATTTTTTATAATTATTAAAAGTAGACCAGAATTTTCAGTTCAATTAAACTCTCTTTCACGCTTAATGAGAATTTTGGCAAAATAGGTTGCTCTCTTAAATGCATCATAGGTTCGGTCTTATGCAGCAATGTAAGTAAAAAGAATCAAGAGTGAGCTGGCCCTAGGAAAGAAACGGGAAAGAGCGAAAGGGAGAGAGTAAGTCCGCTGGAGTTCCGGGACTGCCCCTGGGCATGTAGTTGGATTTCCGGTCTTGAAAATTGGTTCCGAGGCTCGAATCATTATGGGCCTTTTTGATGGTGGTGGTTGTGTTTGGCGGGCGGGGTAGCATTGATGGGGCATATATGTTTTCGTTTAAAGGATGGAATCTAGACGGTCTAGAGGCGTTTTTTTGGCCGTTCCTCGTCTGGTGGTTGTACTCTTTTCTAGTTTTGGTCCAAACGATGGTGGGCTTCTTTTGGAGGTGGTGGTGTCGGCTCTGGACAATGCCGGAGGTGGTGCGTGTTTCACGTTCTGCTGTTCGAAGGCATCTCGTCGACTTCGCCATTTGTCACTCAAAGCATTTTTCCTACCCTGATGGTCCTCTAGTCGGCTGTATTTTCATTGAAGGCTTGTGGCGTTCGTGTTTTAGGTTTTAGTTGTTTATGTTTTAGTTTAATAAAGGCATCAGATATTTTCTCGATGTAGTTTTAGTATTTTCTTTGTAATAATAGAGACATTTCTCCGATCGTTTGAGTTTGTTTTTGGTCCACCAGATTTATGGGTTGTTCTTTTACAACAAAACTCAAAAAAAGTTTAAACTCAAGTTACAATTTTATTCAAGTTCACGTTCTATTAAGTTCTAATTTTATTCAACTTTATTCAAATTACAACTTTAAACTCAAGTTATAATTCAAATTCAACTCAAAAATTACACTCAAGTAACACTAAAAAAGAACAACTCCTTGGTCTTTGGCGAGTTTTGAATGAAATTTTACTTCAAAAAGAAAAAAGTAAAAAGAATCCACATTAATGAATATAACAATAAAAAACAACTTTCAATGATCTGCGTAAATAAATATGAGAAATTTGTTCAATTACCTATTTTAAAACATCACTTCTAGAGCATATTTTGGTACGTTGAAACAACTATTCCTAAATATCAGTCGTGAGAGAAAAGAATTTGGTAAAATTTCATTCCAAATATGATATCAACTAAAACTCTTAATTTGCCTATAATTATTCCTCTTAATAGTATAAATTTATCTTAAATTACCTCTTTCACTATCCAAATATAAAAAATAACAACAAAATAGATATTAAGGATGCGTACAAAAATATACCTTCCAATTTTATGTTTTTGAGAAATCCTCCTAATTAAGAAACTACAACCTCATCTTTTATATTTCATGTTTTATTTCAATATTGCCCACCTATAGCATGTTGGGCCAAAAAATAAAAAAACCATTATATACCTTAAATTGCATAAAAATAAACAATCATTTTCTTCTTATAAAAATTGTATGAGAAGGAACAAGAAATAGTCTCATGCAAACAATCGTTCTTTTCTTTTATATATATATAT